CCTCCTTTATCTCCAGAATAGACTTGTTTCTCCTTTTATAAATGAACACACACACACACACAAATAACAAATAATAATAAATAAAATAAATGAACACAGAGGAGGCTTATAAAATACCTCTAATGAAGCGTGTTTGATTTTCTCATGTTTTCACATCATCCATGGTAGGAAAATCTCCCTACCCATCTTCCAATCTGCTGCTGGTCACTGCAGCATTCTGTGACTTCACTAAGCCCTTCAGTTCACCTGATGCAGACTTCATAGTCAACCTCCCATGTACTATACAGGGAAGCATACTCTGCCTTTGGTTTCAGAATTGTCAAGAGGCAAAGGTCAACTAATAACTTGCAATTGAAACATTTTTTTCTTTTCTTTTCTTTTTTTTTTTTTTTGGAGACAGAGTTTTGCTGTTGTTACCCAGACTGGGTAAAATGGTGCTATCTGGCTCACTGTGACCTCCGCCTCCTGAGTTCAAGCGGTTCTCCTGCCTCAGCCTCCTGAGTAGCTGGGATGACAGGTGTGTGCCAAAATGCCCAGCTAATTTTTGTATTAGTAGAGATGGAGTTTCACCATGTTGGCCAAGCTGGTCTCGAACTCCTGACCTCAGGTGATCCACCCACCTCGACCTCCCAAAAATGCTGGGAGTTCAGGTGTGAACCACCACGCCAAGCCCAAATCATTTTTTTTTTTTAAATAAAGAGCATCAGGACTCTTCAAGCTTAGCATCCTGTTCAAATATAGTCAAACTCAAAGTCTCATCTGAGTCAACCATTTATTCATTCATTTAATGAATATTTTTAATATCGATATACATGTCAGAGAATGAAGAGGATGGGTGCCACAGAAGTATACAACGAATTGTATTATTCAACGATCCTTTAATGGGGAAAATAACTATACAGATAACTACAATTTAAGGCCATTTTTTGGATAAGAAACATAAAAGTGATGCAAACAAAAGTTCAAGGAGGCAAATACCACTTCTTGTTCTTCAAGTCCCGACCGAATTGCCACTTCCATGAAGGTTCATGGAAAAAGTGGCAATTCGGTCGGGTCTGGAAGATGTCTATAGGTAGAGCCTCAGAAAAAGCAATATGAAACACTGAGAATAGGAGGAGGAGGGCGGCTTTAGTGAGCAGCTCACTTTTACTAGAGCATTGGGATTGTAGAGGAGAAACATGATTGATTAAGGCTATATGGGACAGTTAGGGCCAGATCCTGGGGGAGTTCGAATATCAGATGGAAAGTCAGGCTTTATTTGATGAACAGTAGGGAGCTGCTGAAGTTTTTTTTTTTTTTTTTAAACAACCTTATTGAGGTAGTACTGACGTACAATAAACTACACATCTCAATTAAGTATACGGTTTTGATAAGTTGGTGTGAAATCATCACCCATGAAATCACCAAATCAAGATAATGAACATATCTAATTATCCTCAAAAGTTCCACTGAAGAATTTTAAGATAATGGCATTCAAAGCAATGCTTCTGGAAAGTATTTCTTGATTAAAAACATAAATGCCCCCTTCTGATAAAATGTTTACATCTTGTAATCTTCATTGGTATGGTATATAATTATACCACATCCAAAAATGAATTAAAACAGTAGACAAACCACAGCTTTGATCAGTCTGATGGCAGTATATAGGACAGACTGGAATGGGGCAGAAACAGAACAATCGAAAGCCCAACTAGAAGGCTTTATTTTATTTATTTATTATTATTATTTTTTTTGACAGAGTTTCGCTCTTGTTACCCAGGCTAGAGTGCAATGGCGCGATCTCGGCTCACCGCAACCTCCGCCTCCTGGGTTCAGCCACCGCGCCCGGCCAGGCTTTATTAATAGTCTAGGCAGTTGCTAATAAATCTGGTAGAAGAATCAGGACAAAAAGGAAATGAGAAAGACTAGTATGGGTGAGCTGGACTGGAGAGAGAGCAACAGGGTAAAAATGACTGAGGTTTTGAGCTAGCTGTATGGCAAATCAGGAGAGCACGGTTAAGAAACGTACACATAAATAAATAATAAACGTTCGTGGGCATGGATTTGAGAAGAAGGGAAGTAAATCATATTTAGGAATCACTCACATTGATGTGAAAGGTAAAGCCATTAAGAGTGGTTTGGCCGCGCGGTGGCTCAAGCCTGTAATCCCAGCACTTTGGGAGGCCGAGGCGGGTGGATCACGAGGTCGAGAGATCGAGACCATCCTGGTCAACATGGTGAAACTCCACCTCTACTAAAAATACAAAAAACTAGCTGGGCATGGTGGCGTGTGCCTGTAATCCCAGCTACTCAGGAGGCTGAGGCAGGAGAATTGCCTGAACCCAGGAGGCGGAGGTTGCGGTGAGCTGAGATCGCGCCATTGCACTCCAGCCTGGGTAACAAAAGCGAAACTCCGTCTCAAAAAAAAAGAGTGGTTTGACTCTGTGAGAGAAAGGTTTAATGAAGAGAAAAAAAAACAAGTTAGAACCTTATGAACTCTGTAACAAAGAGTTCCAAATTGCTTAAAATATTCCAGGCACTGGCCCTTTACAAAGTGTATTGTTTTATTTATCTCTCACAAAAATCTTATAAGTTACCAAATCATCTCTATTTTACAAATGTAGAAACTAAGGTACAGACGAATTAGGTCACTTGCCCAATGTCACATAATTAGCCTATGGTGAAACTAAATTGTTAAAATCAGACAATCTGAATCCATTTTTAATTCCTGGGTTGCGATGTCTTCTTCCTGCAGCCCAATCACTTAAGCTCTCCTAAGATAGTCTCCTAAAATACACAATGAGGCCAGAGCTGCTTAACCCATTTGCCTACTATAATCCCCATGGGCAATGTATCTTCAGATCTCAAGATAATGCAGTATACTTGGAACTGTTTTATGAGCAACATAGGATAAAACTGGGAGTTGGAATTATTCAATTTAGATTGAACTTGCTGAAACTTAGTTCAAATGCAACTTAGTTCTAAAAAACTTAGACAAAAGTTTATTTCATAAACAGAATAGCAACAGTTAAAGCAAAAATTTTGATTTTGCCTAAGAAGTCAAATACCACAAAACTCATCAACTGGAGTTTATAGGAATACAAGGGACAAAGGAGTACAAGCATCTTAATTGGCTGCCAAAATTATAATTTCTACTAAAGAGAAACAAGACATCTCATTGATGGATTACTAACCTGTTGTGATTTAACTAGAAATATAGGGAAAAGCATAACTTTATTTATTTATTTTGAGACAGAGTTTCGCTTTTGCCACCCAGGCTGGAGTGCAATGACGGGATCTCAGCTCACTGCAACCTCCGCCTCCCAGGTTCACGTGATTCTCCTGCCTCAGCCTCCTCAGTAGCTGGGATTACAGGCATGTGCCACCATGCCTGGCTAATTTTTTGTATTTTAGTAGAGACAGGGTTTTACCACATTGCCCAGACTTGTCTCGAACTCCAGACCTCAGGTGATCCACCCAGCTTGGCCACTCAAAGTGCTGGGATTATAGGCGTGAGCCACCGTGCCCAGCCAAAGCATAACTTTAAAAAGTAAAAAAGTTGGCTGGGTGCGGTGGCTCATGCCTGTAATCCCAACACTTTGGGAGGCTGAGGCAGGCAAATCACCTGAGGTCGGGAGTTCAAGACCAGCCTGACCAACATGGAGAAACCCCATCTCTATTAAAAACACAATAAATTAGCTGGATGTAGTAGCGGAATATTCCAGTTAGTAAATATTTTGGACTTAACCATCCATATGGTACCTGTCAGAATTATTCAGCTCTGCTATAGTATTGCAAAAGCAGCCATGGACAATACGTAAACAAGTGACTGTAGCTCTATTCCAATAAAACTTTATTTACAAAATAAGACGGCAGGCCAGCTTTGACCTGTGGGCTGTAATTTGTCAATCCATTCTCTAAAAGGATGCCTTTCATGCTCTGTATGTACATCAGAATCGCCTATGGAACTTGTTCAAAAGGTAGGTTCCTAGGTTCCAGCCTACCCCTACAGAATCAGAATCTCTAGGATGTGAATTAGCAATTTAATACGGTCCTCAAGTGGTGTGGGAAGCACACTTTTAAAACTCTGTGCTAGGCTGGGCGTGGTGGCTCAAGCCTGTAATCCCAGCACTTTGGGAGGCCGAGGCGGGTGGATCACGAGGTCGAGAGATCGAGACCATCCTGGTCAACATGGTGAAACCCCGTCTCTACTAAAAATACAAAAAACTAGCTGGGCGTGGTGGCGCGTGCCTGTAATCCCAGCTACTCAGGAGGCTGAGGCAGGAGAATTGCCTGAACCCAGGAGGCGGAGGTTGTGGTGAGCCGAGATCGTGCCATTGCACTCCAGCCTGGGTAACAAGAGTGAAACTCCGTCTCAAAAAAAAAAAAAAAAACAACAACAAAAAAAAAAACCTCTGTGCTATGCAGCTAGCTTCATCTAAGGGGTGGCCTTCCTGTCCTACACGTGGGCCAGCACTTCCTGTACCCTGCGGCAGTAAAAATCAGTAACTTTTATTTTCTTTGATCTTCCTAGTAGAAACAACTGTTTGGTTTTTTTGTTGTTGTTTTTCCTTCCAATCTCTAAAATGCATAAAATAGTCCCTCTCGGGTGAAATTAACATGAAGTTTAGGTATGATTTTGAATGAAAATATTCAACTTAAAATAAGATTTTCAACCCAAAAGCTTCCTGAAATCTTTTAAACTGCAAAATTAGTGAACAAGATTCTTACCAAAGGACAGGGCTAAATCTTAAGGAATAGTTTTCCATTGTTCTCCCTTTCAAAATATCTCCAGTAAAGGCCTGCTCTGTTGCTTGTAATGCTTGTAACAAGTCATTACTTCGTGTCTGGAGGTCTTTGCTTCAACAGAACCTCATTAAAACTCATGGGAAAACAGAAAGTAGAAAATCTCTGTGGTTTGTGTTAAGTTGACAAAACAAAACAAAAAAACAACAACTCTGTAAGCCTCTGGCAGCTGCGCCCAATTTTATCAATCAGTAAAAATAACTTATTCAGCCAAGTTCAGTTCTGATAAAATGAAAAAAGTGGGTTACTTTTGTTTGTTTGTTCATTTGTTTGTTTCAATGGCCAGGAATCAATCAGTAAACGAGGAAGTGATGTTCAGTCCAGTGAATAGCTCCACCTCTTCAGCTCTCCAGATTTTCCTAGGAAAGACAATGAAAATCTTATAGCCAAAGGACTGGATTTCAGGAACTTCCTAGGAAACCAGGAAATGATCTGCAGATACCTCTAGGAAATGTAGCTCTTATTAAGGTTTTCATTGATCCTGGAAATGGAAAGGAGTGCTCTATGACAGCAGAAGTTCTAATGATTACTAAAACATGGGCTTAGAATACCTTCTACGGTCACCACTACAGCAAAGACTGTTTTTACTTTTTTTTTTTTCCTGAGACACATTCTTGCTCAGTCACCCAGGCTGCAGTGCAGTGGCGCTACCTTGGCTCATTGCAACCTCTGCCTCCTGGGTTCAAACAATTCTCCTGCCTCAGCCTCTTGAGTAGCTAGGATTACAGGCATGCACCACCACATCCAGCTTATTTTTGTATTTTTAGTAAAGACAGGGTTTCACCATGTTGGTCAGGCTGATCTCGAACTCCTGACCTTGTGATCTGCCTGCTTCGGCCTCCCAAAGTGCTGGGATTACAGGTGTGAGCCATGGCGCCTGGCCAACTGTTTTTTCTTAGATACTATTAAGGTGATTCTGACTTCCTTAACATACACATAAAGATGTTACAGAAAAAAAAGACCCAGAAATTTACCAGAGAAGAGAGTGAAGCCAGGCTGAAATTAGAATTCTACTACAAATATACTTTATAGATGATTATGTGTAGGAAATGAGGATTAACTTTACAGTAGTCAGCAGGCAATATTTTAGGTAGCATGACTCTGGAGTCCAGCTCCCTCCCACAGGCTGAGCTTCTGTCTGCTCCACTATTTCACAGCAAGAAAATCCAGGCATTATTGCAAAGTAGGGAAGCCTGTTTTCTTGTTGTTTTCCAGTTTACAAAAAGGGTCATGAATTGGAATCCCAGGTATTAGTACAAAAACAGTGCAAATACCTAGCAAAACCAGGAGCCCCAATATACTTACCCAACCTCCCTGGCCCTGGATGAACTCCCGGATGGCTGTGTTCCCATTGATCATACCCGTCATGGAGATAGCCACCTGTCTCACCACTTCAGGAGCCACGTGAGCCACACACTCAAGAAGTTTCACTGACACTGCCAGAAAGGCTCTCTCATAAACTAAGCTGGAATCTGAGCCACACCAGGTCCTGCTGAGAGATTCCACCGTACTCTGAAGCATAGCTCCTGCCTGAGGAAAGACAAAGGAAATATCAATAGAGTATCACTCAAAAAGTATAGGAGGCTTCAGGCGCAGGAATCCAGTAAAGCGATTGTTTCTGAAAGAGTGCCAAATGTGCCATTGGTGGTATCTAAGGAAATCTGAGAGGGTAGATGGACAATCTTTTCTTGTTTTAATATTTTGTTATCTTAATGGGCATTTGAAAATACATAAGTAGTGCAACAGAAGGGGCTGCAAATAAAAGAAAAAAAAAGAAAATACATAAGTAGTTCATCAAACCCATGATTTCAGGTCTTTGCTTAGGTTAAACAAAATGAATAAAAAACAATTTGAAAGAAAAATATTAAGTATGTGATGGTCCAACTGGTCAAATTGTAAAGGTACTGCTTGAATGACTAGGAAATGTCTGGGAAACTCTAAAGCTAAAAGAAAAAAAAAAAAAAGCTGGGTACGGTATTTTACTCTGTAATCCCAGCGTTCTGGGAGGCTGATGCAGGCACATCACCTGACATCAGGAGTTCAAGACCAGCCTGGCCAACACAGCAAAACCCTATCTCTACTAAAAATACAAAAATTAGCTGAGCGTGGTGGTACAGGCCTGTAATCCCAGCTACTTGGAAGGCTGAGGTAGGAGAATCACTTGAACCTGGAAGGCAGAGGTTGCAGTGAGCCAAGATCACACCACTGCACTTCAGCCAGGGTGACAGAGCAAGACACCTTCTCAAAAAAAAAGGCCAAGTGCAGTGGTTCACACCTGTAATCCCAACCCTTTGGGAGGCAAAAATAGGAGGATCACATGAGGTCAGGAGCTCAAGACCAGCCGGGGCAACATAGTGACACCCCGTCTCCATGAAAAATTTTAAAAAGTAGCTAGGCATAGTGGCACAAGCCTACAGTTCTATATACTTAGGAGACTGAGGTGGGAAGATCACCTGAGCCTAGGAGATTGAGGCTGCAGTGAGCTATGATTGTAACACTGCACTCCAGCCTAGGTGACAGTACAAGATTGTCTCAAAAATAATAATAATTAAAAAACGGCCGGGAGCGGTGACTCATGCCTGTAATCCCAGCACTTTGGGAGGCTGAGGCGGGCGGGCGGATCACGAGTTCAAGAGATCAAGACCATCCTGGCCAACATGGTGAAACCCCATCTCTATTTAAAAAATACAAAAATTAGCTGGGCATGGTGGTGCGCGCCTGTAGTCCCAGCTACTCGGGAGACTGAGGCAGGAGAATTGCTTGAACCCAGGAGGCTGAGGCTGCAGTGAGCTGAGATCACGCCACTGCACTCCACCCTGGTGCCTGGCAACAGAGCGAGACTCTGTCTCAAAAAATAAAAATAAAAATAAAATAAAAAACTAGTAATTTAAAATAATTGAGTAGCTCTTTCTTTTCCTCTTTCCTTTTCAAAAATAGAATCCAAAAGCCATTAGGTAGGTCAAAGCAAGATCTGCGGGGATTTAGGGAGGCCAAGCGTGGTCAGAGCTGACTATCAGAACCCAAACAAGCTAAAAAGGACATCCATGTGGGAGGGCACCTAGATCTTGATTTCTAAATATCATTCTCCATTAAAAGAAACCAGAGCTTTCTACAGAATGGTTTATTTCAGTTTGGGGCTAGGCAAGTATAAGATCTTCTGCTAGAAATTAAGGAATACTCGGCCGGGTGCGGTGGCTCAAGCCTGTAATCCCAGCACTTTGGGAGGCCGAGGCAGGTGGATCACGAGGTCGAGAGATCGAGACCATCCTGGTCAACATGGTGAAACCCCATCTCTACTAAAAATACAAAAAACTAGTTGGGCGTGGTGGCGCGTGCCTATAATCCCAGCTACTCAGGAGGCTGAGGCAGGAGAATTGCCTGAGCCCAGGAGGCGGAGGTTGCGGTGAGCCGAGATCGCGCCATTGCACTCCAGCCTGGGTAACAAGAGCGAAACTCCATCTCAAAAAAAAAAAAAAAAAAGAAATTAAGGAATACTCAAATAATAATAGAGACACATCAAAGAGATGCAGTCCAGAGTTAAATGACTCCAACTAGTTAAAACTTGGATGATTTGAGCATCTAAATAAATACTGATGTAACAGATTATAATCTACTGAATAAAGTAAGAATGCATGGGTCCAATGTTGATAAGAAATGAATGCATTGAAATTTTGATGAGATATAGGATATTTACATAGTTTCAAAGTACCTCTCTATAAAACATTTATTAATTACAAAGGAGAAAAGAGTAACTTTATAGTGGAGAAGACTTACAGACACCATCTTAAGTAACTAAAGTTAACATTAGTACTGGAACAAAATGAAATCTTGTGCCAATTGAGGCAATGCGCTGAGAACACAGCACTACTTCTGTGATATTCCTACCAAAGGTACATATCCTGAATTTATTCAAGAAGAAGCATTAAACAAACACAAGTTAAAGGACATTCAACAAGACAGACCAAGTGTCAAGGTCATGAAAATCAAGGAAAGACTGAGGAAAAATTCCAGATTGAAGGAAGCTAAAGAGACATGACAACTAAATGCAATCTGTGACCCTGGCCTACAACTTTTTACTATAAATTACATTATCGGGACAAATGGCAAAACTTGAATGAGATCTAAGGATTAGATGATAATGAATCAATGAATTTCCTGGGTTTGATTGTTAGATTTGGTTACATTAGAGAATGTCCTTGTTTGAAGGAAGTATAAAAGCATTAGGGGCTGATGAAACATCATGTCAACTCCTTACTGTCAAATGATTCAAGACAGAAATTATTTGTAACCTTGCAACTTTTTCCTGAGTTTAGGGCTATTTCGAAAAATATTTTTTTAAGGTTAGAGTGCAATGGCACCATCTTGGCTCACTGCAACTTCCGCCTCCTAGGTTCAAGCAACTGTCATGTCTCAGCCTCCTGGAGTAGGTGGGATTACAGTTGTGTGCCACCATGCCTGGCTAATTTTTCTATTTGTATTTGTATTATTTATTTAGAGAGAAGGTCTTGCTCTGTCACTCAGTGGAGTACAGTGGCGAGATCTCAGTTCACTGCAACCTCCCTCTGCCTCCCGAGTTCAAGCAATTCTCCTGACTCAGCCTCCCGAGTAGCCAGGATTACAGGTGCATACCACCATGCCCGGCTAATTTTTGTAGAGACAGGGTTTCACCATGCTGGTCAGGCTGGTCTTGAACTCCTGACCTCAGGTAATCCACCTGCCTCAGCCCCCCAAAGTGCTGGGATTACAGGCATGATCCATGGCACCCAGCCAAAAAAAATCTGTTTAATGAGAAAAAAGAGTCAACTCAGCTATCAACTACCTAGGATAGCCTCATGGCAAGCAACTGGGAATAACAGGTCCACTTCTGCCTGAATGTAGTGTAGGCATACTGCCCAACCTGTGTACAGCAGGAAGAATAAAGCATAATGGTAAGAGTGTGGCTCTTTTTTATGAGACAGAGTCTCACTCTGTCGCCCAGGCTGGAGCGCAGTGGCACAATCTCAGCTCACTGCAACCTCCACCCTCCAAGGGTCAGGTGATTCTCCTGCTTCAGCCTCCCTAGTAGCTGGGATTACAGGCATGTACCACCACACTCAGCTAATTTTTGTATTTTTAGTAGAGACGGGATTCTCCATGTTGGCCAGGCTGGTATTGAACTCCTGACCTCAAGTGATCCACCCAGCTACTTTTTGTATTTTTAATAGAGATGGGGTTTCACCATGTTGGCCAGGCTGGTCTCAAACTCCTGACCTCAAATGGTCCACCCAGACGGGCCAGGTGTGATGGCTCACACCAGTAATCCCAACACTTTGGGAGGCATGAGCCCTGGCACTCAACCAAAAAAATCTGTTTAATGAGAAAAAAAGTCTGAGGCGGGTGGATCACCTGAGGTCAAGAGTTCAAGACCAGCCTGGGCAACATGGTGAAACCCTGCTTCTACTAAAAATACAAAAATTAGCTGGGCATGGTAGCAGGTGCCTGTAATCTCAGCTACTCAGAGGCTGAGGCAGGAAAATCACTTGAATTTCTGTGGCAGAGGTTGCAGTGAGACTTGGTCTCAAAAACAAAACAAAACAAAACAAAAAAACAAAACCCAACATAGAAATTCTTATTGAGGACTTATTACACCTAAGGCACTGTTATAGGTTGTGTGAATATGTCAGTGAACAAAACAGGTTAGATGTTTGCTCTTGTGGTCTTATATGCAGGTGTGGAGAGGTTGCTGTACCAATAATAGCTTCCATGATAACAATACAAGGGCATAATGATTAAATGAGATAATAATAGCACATGGTAAGTGATAAGTTAATATTAGCTGTCATTGTTGACATAAATCAGCGACCTCTCTTAATACAGAGTCCAAGTGGTACTGCCAGTAATCAGCATTCTGATGAAAAGCCAGTGGGCTGCTGTAGGGCTTATCTGTCATTGCATCAGACTTGTAAACTGCCTATCATTCCTGTATATATTTCACTGCTGGATCCTGAGAGGAAAAGATGCCCACCTCAACAAAATAACTATCAAAATATGTATAGGCTGGGTGTGGTAGCTCACACCTGTAACCCTAGCACTTTGAAGGACGGAGGCAGGTGGATCACCTGAGCTTAGGAGTTCAAGACCAATCCAGGCAACATGGCAAAACCCCATCTCTATTAAAAATAAATTTAAAAAAAATTAGATGGGCATGGTGGCACTTGCCTGAAGTCCCAGCTACTCAGGAGTCTGAGGTGGAAGGATTGCTTGAGCCCAGAAAGTGGAGGCTGCAATGAGTTGAGATCACGCCACTGCGCTCCAGCCTGGGTGACAGAGTAAGACCCTGTGTCGAAAAAAAAAAGAAAAAAAGATATTATACTTTGCCAAGAATAAAGTACTATAAATATGCTCTATACACACTAAGCACAGCTCTGATGAAGACCAAGTAGAAGGTTTGTCAGCCTATGCCAAAAGTTTTCCATCTCTGTACAACTTAGGTTTTAGCAATTGGAGAATTCTTGCTATACCTCCTTGGAATATATGCCCCCAAATACTTTCACAGAACATTCCTAGTCATCGTAATGTGGGAGTTGTAAGAAAAGAAAGTTTAAAATAGAAAAAAAAAAAAAAAAAAGCAGCAACAGTAGCACAAAGTAGAAGCTTCACCTGTCCCTGAATGGTTTCTGTAATGACGCTTTTGGCAGAAGCTTCCAATTCTCCGTTGAACTGGTCACCCAACATCCGAAGGCGACCAGCGATGATTGCTACATCAAAAGAGCAAGACTCTCCTATGACAGAGGGAACACATTTGTTACAATCCGTGAAGCAAAGGCAAGTCCCAGGAGTCTGGGCAATGAGAAAAAGTTATCTTGTCTTTTAAATAATTTTCACATAATTATCTCCCAAGAACTTAAATGTTCTGTCAACACCAATAGTCAGAAAGTTTCCGTTCATTGAGAATCTCTTTCACTTCAGGTGTTGCTGAAAGCTTAGTTTACCTTTTGAAACTTAAAGGAAATAAAACACACTTTTTTTTTTTTTTTTTTTTTTTTTTTTTGAGATCAAGTCTCACTCTGTTGCCCAGGTTGGAGTGCAGTGGGGTGATCTCAGCTCACTGCAATCTCTGCCTCCCAAGTTCAAGCAATTCTTGTGCCTCAGTCTCCCATGTAGCTGGGACAACAGGTGTGAGCCACCACACCCAGCTAATTTTTGTATTTTTAGTAGAGATGGGGTTTCACCATGTTAGCCAGGCTGGTCTTGAACTCCTGACCTAAGGTGATCCACCCACCTTGCCCTCCCAAAGTGCTGGGATTACAGGAGTCAGCCACCACACTCGACCAAAAACATAATCTTATTGACCTGGCCAGGAGCCTTACCTGAATCTACTTCATCTTCACAGCCTAGGTCCCGGTTGGCAACCTGCAATGTTGGGCTCAAGAAGTCCATGAGTAGAGTGTTCACAATACATTCCGTTTGTTCCTCAAAAGTCTGGGGGCTCTTCATTTTAGATGTTTGCTGCCAAGTTTTGTTTTTCCACAAAAGCTGTTTTCAGCCTAGTGGAAAGTTAAAAACACTGATAAATCAACATATGTTTCTACCTCTTGTAGTTTCCTGATTGGACATGTAGTCCTGGAACTTTTTCCACTAGCTTTTTTCAAACACAACTCTGCAGAAAGAAAAGACTTCTCTGAAAGGATTATCTACTTAAAAGACTTCAAGTTATCTCAGACCACACCCTAACCACATAAGATTAATGAATAACTTTTATCATTAGGCAATCTAGAACTGAAATAGGGTTCAGGAAGAGCCTCTGGGGTAATTTCATTAAGAAATGCTTCCTTCTTAGGTCCTATATGTGGTGTAAAGGAAGATTTTAAAGTTACAGTGGACCAGCATTCAAATTCTGTTTATGGAATTTATTTGCCATAACCATATAATAATTATTTACCAAACAAGGAACTATACATGGCACTGCAAGTAATGTAGAAAAATGACACAAGCACAGTTATGTGCTCATGAAGCTTATACTTCAGCAGAAATGACAGATATTAAATAACTAATCACATAGTTAATTGTGCTATTGAGATCAGTGCACTTTGATCAGTGCACTGTAATAGGGAAAAGACTTTGATAGTGTAATAGGGAAACATGCCCAGGGGACTGGGAAGGCTTCTTTAAAACAGTAACATCTGAGATGAGCTCTGAGGAATAAGTAGGCATTCATTATACAAAGAGGAGGCATAACACTATTCGAGTTGGATGGGTAAAGTCTGGGAAGGTTAAAAAAGAAACTCAAACAACTTGGATTATATATAGGGACAAGACAAAATATTTCACAGAGAAATTATGAGGATCAAATAAGATAACATGTGGAATGGCCTAGCACTGTCTGGCATACAATAAATGTTAAATGTCCTCCTTTTAGTCCAAGGCCTAATGACCAGGATGAAAGAGACCAGAGATTCTCTCTCTAGCCAAAGGATTTTCCTAAGAGGCTTGGACTCCATTATTGTTTTAAGAGATCTCAGGATTGGACACTTATCTGTAATGGTTGCTTCCTAATGTAGCTAAACCTAGATTTTGAGTCTGGGTGTCAGAAGCAGCAATCAAACCTATCAGCAAATTTATCACTCAAACCTGTCTGACCTGGTGAAGTTATTAACAGCTCCAACTAATAAAAGATTCAAGCATAGGCCCGGTGCAGTGGCTCACACCTGTAATCCCACCACTTTGGGAGGCTCAGGTGGGTTGATTACCTGAGGTCAGGAGTTCACGACCAGCCTGGCCAACATGGTGAAACCCGTCTCTACTAAAAAATACAAAAATTAGCTGGGCGTGGTGGTGCGCACCTGTAATCCCAGCTACTCGGGAGGCTGAGCATGAGAATCATTTGAATCTGGAGGCAGAGGTTGTGGTGAGCTGAGATCACACCACTGGCACTTCAACCTGGGCGACAGAGTGAGACTCTGTCTTAAAAAAAAAAGATTGAAGCCTAAACAGTAAGTCAGTTGTTCAGAATGGAATTTCTATCTTGCAAAATATCAAAGCCAATATGATGTTTTCTGTTTCATTCTAAAACGCATGTAACCACTATACACTTATTAAAATAGCCAAATCCAGAACACTGGCAAAACCAAATGCTGGTAAGGATGTGGGGCAGGAACTGTCATTCATTGCTGGTAGGAATGCAAAAGGGTATAGCTACTTTGGAAGAGTTTGGCAGTTACTTACAAAACCAAATATCCTCTTACCATATGATTTAGCAATTATACTCCTTGGTATCTACCCAAAAGAGTTGAAAACTTGTCTACACAAAAACTTGCACATGGATGTTCATAGCAGCTTTATTCACAACTGCCCAAACCTGGAAGCAACCAAGATGTCCTTCAGTAGGTAAATGAATAAATAAACTGTGATACATAAAGAAAATAGACATTATTTACTGCTGAAAAGAAATGAGCTATCAAGCCATGAAAAGATGAGGAGGGACAGAGAGATCCAAGATGGCTGATCACTAGCAGCTCGGGATTGTAGCTCCCAGTGAAAATGCAAAGAACCAGAGGACGCCACACCTTCACATGAATTCTTGTTGCTCACGCACCAGGAGATTCCCAGCGGAGGAGCCCCACGGGTCGCCAGCACGACTCTTGTGACCGGCGAGGCGGTTTTGCTGGTGCCTCGGAGCGTCGGTTCTTGGTGCAGAGTCAGAAAAGCACCATCAATCTTAACGCCACTGATTTAGTCGGCGCAGTGGGTTGCTCAGATTTCGTCGCTAAGAATCAATAAGTTGGACGTCCACTCAGAAACCCAATTACAAAGATGGTAATTATAAAGACCACAGATGGATAAATCTACAACGAAGGGAAGAAAACAGACAAAAAAGGCTGAGAATACCCAAGATCAGAACGCCTCTTCCTCAGCAGGGGATCCCAGTTCCGCATCAGCAACGAAACAAGGCTTGATGGAGAACGAGTGTGTTCCAATTACAGAAGCAGGCTTCAAAATGTGGATAATAAGAAACTTCTGTGAATTAAAAGAACTTGTTCTAACACAATCTAAAGAAACTAAGAACTTTGAAAAAAGGTTTGACGAAATGTCTACAAGAATACAAAATTTAGAGAGGAAAATAAGTGAATTGATGGAGCTGAAAAACACAATACGAGAACTATGTGAAGTATGCACAAGTTTTAACAGCCGAATTGATCAAGCAGAAGAAAGGATATCAGAGGTCGAAGACCAACTCAATGAAATAAAACTAGAAAACAAGATTAGAGAAAAAAGGATAAAAAGGAACGAGCAAAGTCTCCAAGAAATATGGGACTATGTGAAAAGACCTAATCTACGCTTGATAGGTGTACCTGAATGTGACGAAGAGAATGAATCCAAGCTGGAAAATACGCTTCAGGATATTATCAAGAAAATTTTCCCAACTTAGTAAGGCAGGATAATATTTAACTTCAGGTAATACAGAGAACACCACAAAGATATTCCTCAAGAAGAGCAACTCCAAGGCACATAATCGTCAGATTCACCAGGGTTGAAATGAAGGAGAAAATACTAAGGGCAGCCAGAGAGAAAGGTCAGGTTACCCACAAAGGGAAGCCTATCAGACTTACCGCAGATCTCTCAGCAGAAACCCTACAAGCCAGAAGAGAGTGGGGACCAATATTCAACATCTTTAAAGAAAAGAACTTTCAACCAAGAATTTCACATCCAGCCAAACTAAGCTTCATAAGTGAAGGAAAAATAAAGTTTTTTGTGAACAAGCAAGCACTCAGAGAATTCATCACCACCAGGCCTGCTTTACAAGAGCTTCTGAAAGAACCACTACACATAGAAAGGAACAAACAGTATCAGCCTTTCTAAAAAATACCAAAAAGTAAAGAACATCAATATAATGAAGAATTTACATCAACTAATGGGCAAAATAGCCAGCTAATATTAAATGGCAGTATTAAACTCACATATATCATTATTAATTCTAAATTTAAATTGACTAAATTCCCCAATTCAAAGACAGACAGGCAATTTGGACAAAAAACTAAAACCCATTGGTATGCTGCATCCAGACCCATCTCACATTCAAGGATTCACAAAGACTCAAAACAAGGGATGGAGAAAGATTTACCAACCAAATAGAGAGCAAAAATAAATAAATAAAAAGCAGAAGTTACAGTTTTTGCCTCTGATAAAATAGTCTTTAAAGCAACAAAGATCAAAAGAAGCAAAGAAGGACATTATATAATGATAAACGGATCAATGCAACAACAAGAAGAGCTAAAGATCCTAAATATATACACACCCAATACAGGAATACCCAGACATACAAGACTAATGAAGAGACTTAGACTCCCACACAATAATAGTGGGAGACTTCAACATTAATATTAGACAGATCAATGTGACAGAAAATTAACAACGATATCCAGGACTTGAACTCAGATCTGGAACAAGTAAATGTAGTTAACATTTATAGAACTCTCCACTTTACACAAAATATACACTCTTATCAGTACCACATCATATCAACTTAGAAGTTTAAACAACATGTTGGTTGGCTCCTTGTTTGTTATTCTCTTCCCTCATTTTTTTTTTCATGTCTCCATTATTAAGGACAATTATAGGCATACCCATATTTAGATTGCATTCTAGCCCGGGCAACAAAGCAATACCCCCATTCTCTCTCCCTCTTCCTCTTTCTCTTTCTTCCTCTTCTTTATTCTTTTTCTTATTATTTTTTCTTTCTAAAAAAAAAAAATTAAAAATTAAAAAAAAAGAAAAGATGAGGAGGAATTTGGGTGATAGTTGGACTTTGGGTAATAATTGATGAGGTAAGTTAATCAATTATAACAAATATACCACTTTGATTGGGGATGTTGATTACGGGAGATGATGCTTGTGTGGGGGCAGAGGGTATTTGGGAAATCTCTGTACCTTTGTTTCAATTTTGCTTTGAACCTAAAACTGCTCTTAAAAGGTCTTAATTTTTAAAAATGATCATAAATTGCTTTTAGAGTAAGATCACAAATTATGTTCCCTTGTAGTTAAAGTGCCATTTTCTTTTTTTTTTTTTAATTGAAGAAAGAAAAGGACAACAGAGAGAGACCTAAAATGCCACTTTCATTTGTCATTATCTATTGCTCATTCTCTCTAGAGACAAAAGGGCTGAAGCTTCCATTATTACTAAGTAGGCTTCAGACCTCTAACATCACAGGGGCACGCAGAGAAAATTCTAGGCCAACCTCCTTTCACATTAGAGCTAGCCACTGACAGTTTAAGGATTCTAAAAAATACATTTGTGACATACTCCCAAAACAATACGTAAAAGACAAAAACGTTTATGAGATCATCCAGTTGGTATTAAATAGCTTGCCCAAGTTCACACATCAGTAAGTGGTAGAATATAAATTTTAAACCAAGTCTGTCTTATATCAAACTCAAGCTTTCTCACAGTGATAAACCACCTTCCTCATTTCACTATCAATATGCTTATGCTATCTTTGAAGTTGAATCTTGAGTCCAGGGGTGGTGGCATGCACCTACAGTCCCAGCTACTCAGGAAGCTGAAGTAGGAGGATCACTTGAGCCCAGAACAAGGCTTCACTGAGCGATGATCACACCACTGCACCCTAGCCTGGATGACAAAGCAAGACCCTGCGTCCAAAAAAAAAAAAAATCCAATTTTGACTCCTTTACATTGTCTTGTATAATCAATGTTG